TTCTTAATTTTATATTTTTATTACAGTTATCTAATAAATAGATAAATTAAAATTTTTATTTTATTTATTTTAACTTTAAATTAAATTATAATAAAATAATATTTTATTAATAAAATCAATAATATTATTATTAAAAACTTAATTTAAAATTATTATTATTTAAAAGTTTTTATTAAATTAATTAATTTTTTAATTTTAATATATTTTAAATAGAAATTAAAAATATAATTAATAAAATATATTATTTTAAAAAATAAAAAATTATTAAAATTTTTTATTATTAATTTATAATATTTAATTTAAATAATATAAAAATTAAATATAAAAAAATTAAATCTTAAAAAAATATTTTTATTAATTATTAAAAAATTTTATTATTTTTAATTTTTTTTATTTTCATTAATTATCTTTTTATATAATTAATATTTAAATTAATTTATATATAATAAAAAAATATCAATAAAAAGTAAAAAGTATATAATTTAAATATAATATTAAAATTTCTTATTACAGTATAATTATTTATATATGAATTAAAATTGATTTATCTTCACTCTGAAGATTGATTTGCTTCAATTCTCAATCATCTCTTTATATTTAGCTGCTCATCATTTTAATACTCAGTTTAGTATTCTCATTGCAGCTATCTAATTAAATAGATAAATTGAAGCTATTAATAGTCTTAATATCATTTTTGACTCTAGTTGAGTCATAACACTTTTTATCACTACTAGCTTCTTATTCTCACATTGTTTATTAAAACATATTATGAAAAATTAATATCTTCTAGAAAATTAATATTTTTTAAAGAATTAACACTTTAAAATCTATACTTTAAAATCAGTTCTTTAGAATTAACACTTTTTAAAAAATCAACTCTTTAGAATTAATACTTCATGAAGAATTAAATTATCATATTATTATTTTCTTATTTCATATATGATTAGAGATAAAATCCATTATTATCTATTCATATATATAAATATTTTAAATTCTTTGAATTTCTTAAAAAGATTTAATGATTAACTGCTATTTAATTTTGCATCTATATTTTCATTTCTTATTATTTTCTTCTTTTCATAGCACTTATAGTATCTATACTTTTGCTCTTTTGTGATATTAATTATAGTACTTCTCATACTTTCTTTTGATATTTAGTTCATTTGTCTTAAATGTTTTCAAATTACAATTCTTATATTTAATCTTTATAAACTGTAAGATCAAAGTTAAAACTAATTGAATATAGTTGATAATAATAATAAACTAGACCTAATTATATATTTATAAGATATATTATAGAATTAAACTTTAATTCATTTTTTAATTAAGTCTAATATAATTCAGATAAGATCAAGATAATAATTCAATTAAATTTTAATTGAATTTGTTTAAGCTCTAAAAGAAAAATTATTCTGTAATAAATGTTACGGCGCAGCTGCTTGTATATGGATTAAGGTTGATCCGCCCTGCTACGCTCTAAAGGTTGATCCGTTCTGACCTCAACCATATTTGCTCCAAAGGTTGATCCGATCCGATCCCCAACCGCCTCTATATATTCGGCTGCTCGTTCATTCTTCATTCTAATCCCCAGTTTAGTATTCTCGTCGCAGCTGCCTAGTTAGATAGATGAATTGAAGCTGTTGTCTTGTTATCATCCTGA